AACAGTAATCAACTTCTTAGCAATGTTTTAAAAAATGTACAGAAGTGTTAAATAAAAATAAAGTACTATTGATGCTGGAAATCTGAAATAAAAATAAAGTGCTAGAGAAACTCAACAGGTCTGGCAGCATCTGTTGAAAGAGAAACACAGAAATCTTCAAATCCTATATGACTCTACTTCAGAACAGTTCTGAAGAGTTATATCAGACTTGAAACCTTATGACGTCAAACACAAGTGTCTCCAACATTTTCTGTTTCTTTTTAAGCATTGTTAATGCTTACCAGTACTCCCTTTAATCTGACAAATTCCATCATAAGAATGAGTGCAAAGTTGCAATGAGCAGTAAGTCCTCACAGTGGGCATGACTTAATCTGTGAGCAAGAGAATTTTCGGGGAGGGATTCCATTATTTGAAGTCAGCAAAAAAGATTGCGGGAATTTGATTTCCGCTACATCAGATTTCAAATTGTTATTACTCAATCTTCTGCACAGGTTTGGCTGCTTTGAGCAAAACCCAGTAAAAACTCAATCTCCTATTTCATCCTTCAAGCTATGCATATGCTCCCAAGAACTGTTCCTCAAGCAGCACTTTTTGCAAGACCTTGCTGTTTTTTAACTGGCTGCAAAAACACTTCACAATCAACAATTGGGGTGGGGGTTAATTTCATAGGAAAGGGAGGTAGGTTTGGCTGGGTGAGTAGATTTAACCAGCAGCAGTATCCTCGTCCAAGCCAGTGTACCCAACATCAAGGGCATTCCTTGAAAAGGGCACACATGCCACCAGCTCATGGGTCCTTGGTTTGTGACCAACCACAATGGAAAAAAGTCACTTAGGAAGACATGTCGAGAGACTCAGTCAGGAACACGTGTAGACCTGAAGTCATGATGTTGAAGAGAACATATTAACCTTTAAGCATGGTCAGCCCAGACATGACAGAGAGAGTGTGCGCGCGCGCACGTGCGCTGTCAGGTTAGGAAGCCTTCATGCATTGAGCCTGAACAGCTCAAGCCGTGGCCAGATGCGATGCTGCTCTCAATGTCAAATTTGTGCGCTCTTTTCTCCTGGATCCAGAATTTGCCAAGTGGAAGGAAACAAAAAAAAAAAAGAGTGATGGTTGAAGGCGGTTTGTGTGACTGGAACCTCCTGTCCAGTAGGGGTTCTGCAGGCATGTGTTTCAGGGCCTTGGTGTGTGTGTTGGACATAAATGATTTATACTTCAATGTAGGAAGATTGATCGGCACGTTCGCAATTGATATGGGGGTTGGTGGGGGGGGGAATTGGGGATAAATAGTGAGGAGGATAGCCTTAACTTACAGGTGGATATAGATGGGCTGATCAGCAGCAAATGGAATTTAAGTGCAAGGTGATGCACTTTGACAGGTCAGACCAGGAAAAGGACTACATCAATGAACAATAGGATGCTTGGAAGCACCAAGGATCAGAGGAACCTTGGTGGCACGTCCAGTGGTCCCTTAAGGTAACAGGACTGATGGATAAAGTGGATAAAAGACATGAGATACTTGTCCTTACGAGCTGAGGCATAGAGTTTAAGAGTAGGGACATTATGTCAGGATTATATTTAAAAAATTGGTTAGGCCTCAGTTAGAATATTTTGTGCAGTTCCATATTATGGGAGAGGTGATTCAAGATGATTTACCAGGATTTTGCCTGGGTTGGAGAGTTAGTTATGAAGCAGGATTGTATAGACTGGGGTTAGTTTCCCTTGGCACAGAGATGAATGGACATAATTGAGATGTGTAAAATAATGATGGGCATAGATAAGGGGATAGGAAGTAACTATTCTCCATGTTGGAGGGATCATGACCAGGGACACAGACTCAAATGTAAAGGGGCAGGAAGTTTACAAAAGATAAGATGTGAGGAAAGTTTGTTTTTTTTTAAAATTCAGAGGGTGCTGGGTATCTGGAAGTCATTGCCTATATAAGGTAGTAGAAGCAGAAACTTGGATGTGCACTTGCAATGCCAAAGTCATACAAGGCAATGGGCCAAGCGCTGTAAAGTGGGATTAAAATAGTTAGTTGGCTGCATTTGACCAGTGTAGACTCAATAGAATGAAGGGCCTTTTTCTGTGCTGTACATGTCTACGACTTCTATAACCATAATATATTATGGAACCTCATCTGGAGTTTGGTAGATTGCTTTTTTTTTAAAAAATTCTACATTACCATTAACCTGTGATAACCCACAATTCTCCTGTTTAACAAGAATCTACCTGCTTCGGTCTTAAAAATATTCAATGACTGTGCCTCAATCGCCTTTTAAGGCAGAGTATTCCAAAGTCACAAAACACTCAAAAATTCTCAACCTCTTTCCTGAAAGGGTAATTCCTACTTTTAAAACAGTAATTCTGGGCTGACCCACAACAGGAAACATCCTCTCCACATCTATCTTTGTCAAAACCATTCACGATCTCAAACTTCAATCAAGCCATAACTCTGTCATCTAAACCTCAGTGGACACACAAGCCGAACCCATCGTCAAAAGTTTACCCAATTGTTCCACGTATTAATGACGTATACGTCCTCTGAACCATTTCCAATTTATTTTCATCTTCCTTAAATAAGGGGACCAAAACTGCACGGTGTTCGAGACGTGATCTCACCAATGCCAGTTATAAAAGTAAGGATGCTATGCTCCTTTTATATTCAATTCCTCTCATAATAAAGGATAGCACCTCACTAGCTTTCTCAATTGTGTTCAGTGCCTATATACTATCCCCTAGTGATCCATGCACCCAAACACCTAAATTCCTCAGCACCCCAGTCATTCTCCATTAGGTAATACTGGGCTTTTTTCTTCTTCCTTCCAAAGTGAAAAGCCTCATATTTCCCCACAAAATACTCCATCGGACAAATTTTTGTCATCTCTAGACTTATCTAGATCTATTTACAACTTCCTCATGTCCTCTCCACAACATCCCTTCCTATCTGTCTTGGTTTATTACTGAATATAGCTACCATAACCCATTTGATTGATCAGGAAACCTAGAAACAGGATGCTAATGTCATAGCTTATTTAAAAGAGCATCAGCAAAGACTATTTCCAACCCCAATAGCAGTCCTTGCAGTAAATGTTCATATAATTCCATCCAATGTTTCATTTCACAAGTAATCAGTACTTGTGAAGCAACTTGTAACACTGTAATGATGTCAGAAAGTGCTACAAGAATGCACTTTTTCCTCTTGCATAGATCATTTCGTGCAAAGCTTCTGGCATGCTATCCAAACAAAGAATTAATTTGCATTTATATGGCAACCATCACCTTGTCAGTGCTTCACAACCAAATTTTGTAGCTAGACTCAATGTAGAAAATGTGCCAGCCCATTTCCATACGGCAAGTCCCCACAAATAGCAATGAGGTTAATGACTTGATAATCTCTTTGGGTGATGCTGGCACAGATAAATATTGGCTGGGACAGCAGGGAAAACTCCACTGCTCTTCTTTGAAATAGTGCTATGGGATCTTTTACATGTGAGAAAGCAGACAGGGTCTCAAATAAATGACACTTCCAATAGCGCAATATTTCCTTGATTTGACACTGCGCTGGAGTGACTGTTTAAATTGTGCCCAAATGTTTATTGAGAGGCTTGAACTCAACCTCCTGACTCAGATGAGGATGCTACCACTGTGCCAAGTCTGAGATACAATGTGCACTCAGGAGCTAGCTTGACTCTGTGACTAGAGTCTCATCATTATGTATTGTCTGGGCTCATATAGGAAGAATGCCATTTAATGAGACACCACAGAGCTGCCCGGAACGATATGCTTACCAAAGTCTTCAGGAAAAGGGCAAGGGGTAGAAAATAGGCCTTGTTAAAAATATAGTACCAAGCAAATGTAAATATAAAGACAGACAAATTTTATTCAACAGCAAGAGATTTTGGAATTATATTAAAGGTGATTTCTTTAAACTTCCTACCACCAACTTCACATTTATGACCTGCTTATAGACAGCCACTAAAATAAATGAGTCACACTGCGCCATCAATCGCGACCGAGGTTAACCCAAACAGCTGATCTTGCAGATTTTGTTTTGTCAACTGCAGCAAAACCACAACCATCAAAAAGGACTTTTAATAATCTATCTACAGCAACTACATGCAATGGCAATTCTGCTGGTTGTTTCTACAGTTCCATGGATACAGAACTAGCCAAGGACACTCCATACCTCCATGGAGTCCTGCCACAAAGACAGTTCCCATCGCTTGCCACAGAGGTGAGCAAGTAGCATGATACAATTGGTGCCAGTTAATTACTGGTAAAAGCAGCACAAGTGGTTTGATCGTTCAATCTCAGCACAACTTGGTTCAGCACAGTTTCCAAAGTAGTTTGCTGCTTCCGAACAAAAATCATCAGCAATCACCATTTGGAACGAAAAAAAGATCTAAGTAAAACATTCTTTGCAATTTCGTGAAAAGAAAACAACCAGTTGTAGGCATTTAGTGCAAGCACCGATGACTTGTAACAGCAGAAGCAAAAACAAGATAATCATTTGAAATGGTACATGGCTGATCTAGAGGACTTCACTGCTGCTTTTAAACCACTCTAGGCATTAAGCAAAAAGATATTTGGGATCAACATAATGCAAATTTTAAAAAAATAATTTTTGAAAGATGACTTTTTAAACACATACCCAGCATGTTAAGCTCATCAGTGCAGTTATTGCCAACATTTTCTAAACTGACTTTGTTAAAACTTTAGAGCATATTTAGAGTACCTTGCTAAGTATCAGATGCAAAAGTACACTCTAGAATTTGAGACAGGAATTTAGCAGGAAATTTACCACCACTGAGAACTTAAAAATATTTAGGCCTGAAGTAGAAAACATTCTACAACATTCTTTCTGTAATTGGTCTGAAAACTTATTAATTTAATGTGCGTCAATACAGTATCAAGTTACTCCTTATCTATAACAGCTGTAAAGCTGTAAAACCAATACAGCACTCAAAAAAGAAGTTTTAAAAAAACTACACCTTACTTTTAAGATTTCTTCAACACAATTGGCTTCATTTGATAACGTTTCCTGCAAGATGAAACAAAAAATTCAGTGAAATATTTCAAAAACTCAAACAGTAATTCAAAAAGCTTTAGCTGTTGAGAGAATGACAGTAGAATAAACCCCTTTGTGGAGAAATGTTGCCTAGTCAGGAACGTTAAATATGCTATTTCTAAGTAACATAATGTTAACTGAATGCAAGCCAATGAGTTAAATAAAGTAATTGCATTACAACCTTAAAAATGTAGGTGATTTAGAAGCCTCAACAGCTTTTGTTTTGTTTTTAAAAACGAGACACTGCCAACTTTCATATTGTAACAAAAGCTGAATATAGTGATTGAAACGGTAGTGTGTATCTTTTGTTGTGCCCTTCAATTTGCCCTCATTGGTACACTTATCAGGGACAGTCCAAATTTCATTTGAATCTCATTAAATACATGGTAGCAGATTAATTCCTGTCTGTTCATTTGTCAGTCGACCATATATACTGTTTAAGTTATGTCAGATAGACTCACATTCAAGATTTGTGTGGATTATTTCAAAGAAAATACTGATTCTTTAGCATTAGTCCCAGCTCCTGGATTGTCAGTGGCGAGTCAAACAGCTAACTGGCTCCTTTTGTGATCTAGTCAAGAAGTATTAACACTACGTCATTGGCAGGAATTTGAGTTGGAACAGGGTTAGACATCAGCTGCATGAGGTGAGCTAGGAGCTTGCAAATATTGAGACAAATGTTTTTCCATGCTGATTTTTCATCAGCACTTCCAGAGCTCTTGATTTCTATTCACTCCCAGGTTTTCTTTATCTGAGGATTGACATGTTGCAAAACAAAAGCATTTTTGTCATATGACCTGCTTCTGTTTCAATTTTTTACCTGGGTTCAATTCCTTAATTCAATCTAGACGAAGCAGTTATTTATCAACCAGCACAGAGGATAAAAAATTTTAAATTTAATTGAGCATTAGAGCCACACTAGCCCAGACATGCATTCTGAAATGTTGTTTCATAAACTATGCACCAAACACTTGAAAAATCACAACACATTGTACCGTGTACATGCAAAGAGCTTTCTAATAGAAGGCTAAATGTATTACATATAACATGGTAATCTATATGCCAATTCTTACTCTAATTAGCACAGCAAACAAATTTGAAAGTAGGAATTTTTCCATCTGTCTGATAGTAGCCATCAACCTTTTGAAAAAGCTTTTACTAAATAAACAGACTTAGCCCATTTAGCTTCATCTCAAGGGCACTAAAACTAGAGGAGTTATTTTTGTCCCGTGTAACAAACATATTGATAAAATCCATATTTGAAACCTTAATCCTGGACCCACTATATTCAAAAACAACATTAAAGCATCAAAATACAGACGCAAGATAGCAGCCCTAATTTCAAGAGCTGGGATTATGAGATGAAGAGGCAATCAGAATTGTACAGATAGCCATTTACCAAATCAATATAGAGGCCAAAATGATCATGTCCTTAAAATAACAAAAGGAATGAATGAGGAAGGAATGAGGTACAATAATTAGACGAGGGAGGCCAATGTGCAGGAAAGACATTAAGGACAGAGGTACAGAAATTTGGTACATATGCCTCCTACTTGCACTTTTGACAATTGTATAGAGTAGAAAAGGAACTATTTGCCGAGGTTTATACTCGGAGACAAAAATATTGTTATGATAAGATTTCACTTCTAACAAATGATCAACGGCAAGGCTCTTGGTAGAGTTACGACTTCATGACAGTAGTCCATATACTGTTTAGTTCCCGAGAGCACTTAACTAGCTGGACTAGTATTATCCAGCACTCTGATGCTGCTTTTATAGAAAGTTTGTATTATACACAGAAGTACTTCGAATTAAAGTAACTCTATTCATCTGGACTGATCAGGCTATGGATTCACCCTGATAAAGACTTCAGGGCAAATTCCATGGGGCTAGTAGTTATAGCCAAAAAATTGCTCATGTGCAGATCTTTGATAGTAGTGACTCTGGTTTCCGTTCCGGCTGCAAGACTATTGCAGATGTTTGAGAATGTTTTATAGAGCCTATACGATAGGACTGCCTTGTTGTCAGCCTGAATGGATTACTGAGTGACCAACGTGCATGTGGCCAGAAGCAATCATAGGGTTAGGGTATTTTGCACTGCTACTGCTCAAAACGTCTGCCGGAAAAAAGCACCTTGAAGAAAGTTTGTGCAGCATCGTTTCTGGGGAGGTACTGTAAAAGATAAGGTCAAGCATCAAATCAAAGCTTTGCAATTACCTAATGTTACCCATTTTCATATTAAGCATGCACTTATTATTTGGCAAGTACAGTAATAAAACCCAAGCAGTTTTACTGTTCCAAAGTAGTTGGAAAAACTACTTCAGGCTACAACTGCACAAACTATACTAAACAATCCAGTCAAGTACTGCATTCATTCAGGAGCACCTAACTAGATTGTTTCAAAATGAGAACAGTAAGACGACTAGGTTGTCCTAATATGGAAAATGGAAGCTCACCACATAATGAGTTTCTGAAGACAACGAGACACAGGCAGTTACCTTAAAATCTAGCAGCCGATTCTGGAAATAACCAACAGTCATTTTGTACATTGACATTTACTTAAGGTCGAGTTATCTTGTTCTGGTTTTGACATAAAGCAGCATTAGGAAAGAATGGCAGGCAATTACCCTGCAGCTGGAAAATCCACGGGGTGGTGGGGGTGGTGGCGGGGGGGCACTGCAGGCAGGCTCAGGGAAGCTACAAAACTCTGTTGGGAGTAATATAATAAAAACAGCAGCATGACATCATTCACAAGTTTATGGCATAGCAAGGATAGGAAGATTCTGGGAGTCTTGACTCGTTTACTCTCGGGTACAGTACAATACTCCCAGCTTGAAACAAACAAGAATTAGGAGTAGACCATTCAGCCCCTTGAGCTTGCTCTGTCAGTTAATAAGATCACAGTTGACTGCTATCCACTTACCTGACTGGCCCCTGTAACCCTGACAATCATGTCTAATTTAGCTTTGAATATACTCAGTGACCAAACTTCCATTGCTCTCTGAGAAAGTGAAGTCCACAAACTAATGACCCATGGAGAAAATAAATCTCATCTCCATCTTACATGGAGATTTTTTTTTTTGAAAAACTGGTTCTCTAGTTCTAGAAGTCCCCACAAGGGAAAACTTTTTCATCCCTTCAGGATCTTATATGTTTTAATCAGATCATTTCCCATTCTTCCAAACGTGAATGGATATAGGCACAACCTTCTCAACCTTTCATCATCCCCGGAATCAATCCTCAGGTGAAATTGGGGAAAGGCTAACTACAATATTAGGCAGGATTTGGGGAATGTAAACTGGGGCTGGTTGATTGAGGGTAAATCCACATCTGTCGTGTGGGACTTTTTAAAAGGTCAATTGATTAGAGATCAGAACCAGCATATTCTTGTGAAAATGAAGGATAAGGATAAAGTTTCACTGGTTTCTCAGTCACTATAGGTAATAGTTTCATCTCAGAAAAAGGTTAGCCTATATGTCTTTATTCAGAATGAAAATCAAGCCCAATAACTTAAGTCAATGCTGCAGCACTAATAGCAGTCGTGGAAGTCAATGCAGGTACTGTATATTTAAAGAGAGACTGGTAAGGATTGAAATATTCTAACTCAAGTTCCTTTCGGCTGGATTTGACGAATTGTTTTTTGAGTTCTGATCCAAGCAGACCTAGTGAGCCTTGGGGAGTCCAGTGTTGGATTTATCCAACATGTACACATACTGGCATTCACTTTATGGGACAGCACCCTTGATAAGGATCAAAAGTTGTAAACTCCAACTGATTATTTTTGTCTCCACATGCAACATTGTGTCTATATGCAACCAAAATTGTATATTATCAACTAACTACATCAGTTAGGAGTAATTCAAATGGACTTGATCTGGTTTTGTACAGAGTCAACATTTAGAGGATGCTGATACAAACTAGGCAATGAATACCCGAAGGAGTAAGCAGCTGACTTCAGCACATAAAACTTTTCTTTATGGGAGCGCGTGGGTGGGGGAAGAGAAAAAGAGACAGAGCGAGATACAGAGACACACAGAGAGACAAAGAGTGCCAGAAGCCAATGCACACATAGGGTCATAAAGCAAGGAACCAGACTCTTTGGTCCAACTCGTCCATGCCGACCAGGTTTCCAAAACTAAACTAGTCCCAAATCCCTCTAAACCTTTCCCATCCACATATCTGTCCAAATGTCTTTTAAATGTTCTAACTGTACCTGCATCTACCACTTCCTCTGGCAATTCATTCCACATTCAAATCACCCTGTGTGAAAGAGTTGCCCGATCCCCACCCCCACCCCGATCCCTTTTAAAACTTTCTACTCTCACCCTAAAAATATGCCCCCTAGTTTGGAACTCCCCTACTGTAGGAAAAAGACTTTGGCTATTCACCTTATCTATGTCCCACACAATTTTATAAATCTCTATAAGATCACTCCTCAACCTCCTACACTTCTGAGAGAAAAAAGTTCCAGCCTATTCAGCCTCTCCTTAAAACTGAAACCCTCCAGTCCCATTAACATCCTTTTTGGACATGAGTCTGGATTACCACAAGGCCATCAAAAAGAATAATACTCACCCACTTTATGGATAAACTATCAAAATATGGTATGGTAGGGAAGATAGGGGAATCTCTGCAAATGGAAGCAGACCTGCAATCTTAGATTCAGACCTGTACAGAGCATGAGGCGACTATGTCTGTATCAACCAAAGATCTGACCATGTGGAATCTATTTTCTTCAGGTTTTGGTCAAAAATGAATTGTGGCCACAGGGACAACGTATTAACCCCTCCCGCCCCGCTCCCGGAAACAGGGGCTAAAAGTGTACACATCGCTGCCCTCATCCTGATGGCACTTTTGTATAGAGCTGTATCAAGCTGTGTGTGGACCCTTGGTAAACAAACACCAAATGCCACCAGATGCTGAGGTTCTACCTGTCTCGTGTTGTGAAGGATGGATCTGCCAACATTGGAATG